GCGATCCGTCGTGTCCCGTGGGTGCGAGGGGGACACGGGAGCCCCTGAGCGTGGCTTTGGGCTGCCCACCCTCTGCTAGAGGAGCCCCTTGGAGCCCTCTGTGCTGCTGGGGCCTGGTTTGCCTCCCCAGGGCTCTGGAGCGGGTGCACCCAGGGAGAGGGAGCTGATGCACCCAGGGAGAGGGAGCTGGTGCACCCAGGGCGCAGGAATCCCTGGAATGTGGCTGCCCGGGGCACTGCCTGGGTGGGGCGGCTCCTGGGAGCCGCTGGGTTTCGGTTAATAACCTGGCTTCAACAGGCAGCTCCGGCCCATTAGCGCTCTCATCCAACAGATAACCCGGCCCAGCGCTGAGCTCTTCCCACTCCAGCTTGGGCTTTTAAACCACAGATTAGTCTTGGAATTGAGTGATCAAATTGAGGCTTCCGTGCTGGTGTGGCTGTTGCTGTTAGTGACGGGTCGGGTTGTATCCTGGAGACCCAGGCGATAATGCAATCTGATTTTTTGTAAATGAACTCTCTGGGGGATTTAGATTAAATCACTGGTGGAAAATCACTGGTCCCTGCTCGTGGGGAACGAAGTGTCGCCTCCCCCGTTCCCCACCCCCAGCCAGCTATTGCAGTTAAGGCTCTTCATTTTTTGTGTCTGTCTGTCTCTAAATTCATTGTTTGGAGCAAATATTTGCTCAGCAGATTGCCGAAGGTTCAGGACTGCTCGTTATCCAACCCGCCCCCAGCCCGTGCTTTGAAGATCCCCCTTAGCCCCATTTCTCGCCCTTGCTCTGTGCCTGTAACCTTGGATGAGGCTTCAACGCGGCCGTGCCGGCAGCCGCAGGGAGGCCCGGGATGCGCCAGGGCGGGATGAGGAGCGGGCCCGCCACCGCTTGCGCTGCTGCTTCTGCGACGCCTCGGCTGCAGCTTGAAGTGGACTTGAGTTTTGTCCCTCTTTGCAGGGCGCCTGTGCCAGGCTTGGCAAAGGTCTGGCCCGGGGTGCTCTCGGGTGCCTTGCGCGTGCTGCCTTCGCGGGACGCTCCGTAGCAGCGAGGCTCCTGCTGCAGCCGAAGAGCCTTGCCCTGGTGCCGTTTATTTCTGCTTTGAAAAGGGTCCCCTGTTGCTCCCTGCAGTGCCGTTTGGCCCTAGCGAGGGCTCCCGCGCCGCCCGTCCCCGTGGAGCCGGCATTGCAGCTGGCAGGGATGCGGCTCCCGCAGTGCCCGCTCCCGGCAGCCTCTCCACGGGGACAGGAGCACGGGGCCGCTGCGAGATCCGGGCTGACGACGGCTCCGCTGCGGTCCCTGTGGGCGAAGGGCCGGTGGCCGGCGGGAGGGCGAGCGGTCTGTGCTCTAGCAGTGTTCCTGAGAACTGTTTTCTTGAGGGGAAAATGGTAAATCCTGCTACCTGCTACCAGTGTGGACTAGTGTCCTGTTTAGTGGCCGTGCCTGTGTTTCCTTTCCCCAACCTGCTGCTGGGAAAACAAGCAAACAAAAACCCGAGGCAGGAATTTAATACCCAACCTTGGCCCGTGTGAGCCATCCAAACCGAGGAGGATGGTTTTCGCGCAGGAGCTACTTTGACCAGGACCAAATTCCACCAGCTGTAAACCTTAAAGAGCGAACCTGGCAGCAAGCAAAGGAACTGCAGAAAACCGAGGTGGTGACAGGGAATGGAGCAGGAGAAGCACAAGGGAGATGTGCTCTGCCTGCGCCTTGCAAACACCCATGCAGAGGGGAAAGTTTTCTCTTGCAGGATGTGTGACAGGGACTGGCATTGCGGCCGGCCCTGCATGGCACCGGGGCAGCCTCTCTGCCCTTGCCTGGAGCTCCTCAATCCCGACCACCTGGGCAGAGAGGCAGGGGGGCCCCATGTTGGTGCTGGGCTCCGCGCGTTGCGTCGCTCTGCAGGGGGACAGAGGCTCGTGGTTCTGCTTGGGGAAAACCCTCCAGGATGTAAATATAGCAAACTCCTTTTCGAGCTTTTTTGCTTGCTTTCTTGAATGATAGGAAATGATTCAGACCGTGTCATATGACAGGCGTGTGGCTGAGATTTCATCCTCCGTTGTGGCTCCAGCCCCCGGCCGGTGCTGGGCTCAGGGCTGGAGTCGGTTCCTGGCCCTTCCCGAGCGCTCCCTGCCCTTGCGCCTCCACCTGCGGCCGCTCCTCCTCGCTGCGCATTCCGGAGGCCGGGAGGCTGCGCCGCTCCCTGCGCGGCCCTGTGCAACGCGGGACGTGCTGCAGCTTGGACTCTAACACTGCCCTTAAGGGCAGCCTCACGCCAGCACCTCAGCCCTTGTGCAGAGGGAGAGGCCCAAATCCCCTGGTCCGGGTGTCCCGGGCAATCCTGCCCTTGCAGCCACTGTGTTATCTAGAGCTCCTGCTGCCCTGGGAGCCGCGGGCCTTGCTGGCTGGAGCGTCCTGGGCAGCGTGAGATTAGAGCGGGTTTGGATCGTGCTGCCGCGCTTGGGGACAACGAGAGGCTCCGGCACCGGCTCCGTGTTGTCCGGGTCCTGCCGTGCTGGGGGAAGGAGCAGCCCCTGGGGAACTGGTGGTCCCCGCGCTTGCCCTGTTGGCACCCTGGGTTTCCGGGGCGTCTGGGCGCTCTTATGTCCCCCCTAGAGCAGAGGCTGCGGTTTGGGGTTTCAGCCGGCACGTGACATGGACCCCTGCGCGCGGGGAGGACTAACACCGGCTCCGTGTTGTCCGGGTCCTGCCGTGCTGGGGGAAGGAGCAGCCCCTGGGGAACTGGTGGTCCCCGCGCTTGCCCTGTTGGCACCCTGGGTTTCCGGGGCGTCTGGGCGCTCTTATGTCCCCCCTAGAGCAGAGGCTGCGGTTTGGGGTTTCAGCCGGCACGTGACATGGACCCCTGCGCGCGGGGAGGACTAAGGATGCTCCGCACATCCCCGAGGTGAGGCCCTGCTGGTGGCTGCAGGGCTCATCGGAGCCAGCGCCTTCTGCTCCGGCCTCCCCAGTGGGTTTGTGCTGCGCGTCCCTAGCAGCTGAGGCCGTGTCCCCATTGTCACCGCCACATGTTGACAAACGATTCTTCTCCCTGCCAGCCGTGTCCCTTGCGTCCCCTTGGAGCATGGACGGTTTCCCTGGCTGCGGAAGCTGCTGCCGCAATTGGCCTCTCCGTGGGGGTCCCG